TGGTAACCTAGATTACCATGGTTGTGTTAACCTAGGTTACCATGGTTGTGGTTACCTATGTTACCATGGTTGTTGTTACCTTGGTTGCCATGGTTGTGGTCATCTAGGTAACCATGTTTGTGGTAACCTAGGTTACCGTGGTTGTGATAACCTAGGTTACCGTGGTTGTGGTAACCTAGGTTTTCATGGTTGTGGTTACCTAGGTTACAATGGTAGTGGTAACCTAGGTTACCGTGGTTGTTGTTACCTTGGTTGCCATGGTTGTGGTTATCTAGGTTACCATGGTTGTGGTAACCTAGGTTACCGTGGTTGTGTTTATCTAGGTTACCATGGTTGTGGTAACCTAGGTTACCGTGGTTGTGGTAACTTATGTTACCGTAGTTGTAGTAACCTAGGTTATCGTGGTTGTGGTTACCTAGGTTACCACGGTTGTGGTTATCTAGGTTACCATGAATTTTGTCAGCAATTAGAATATATGGTCAAATTGCCGATTTGTGTGATTTTACTGGTCAAAATTCTGAAAAAACCAAAATTTCGACCTAGCTCAAAATTTTCAAAAAACTGAATTTTATTCCATAAATACCACTCCAATATGGCTGTACTGTGGCTTAAAAGATTCACAAATGTCTCAGCTTGCCTTTTAACCTTTACATATGTGTTAATTGTATATATATTTTTATTAAGAAGAATAACCTAGGTTTACCCAAGGTATGTCCAACACAAAAACCCACTAAAACCTACATAAATTCTACATTTCTGCACTAAATCCGCTCAAAGCTAGACCAAACTCAAGAGAATTTGGTCAGCAGTCAGAATATATGTTCAAAATGCTATTTTTCTGATTAATATTGTCAAAATTTTGAAAAAACCAAAATTTCGACCTAACTCAAAATTTTCAATAAACTGAATTTTATTCCAAAAATACCTCACCAATATGGTTGTACTGTGGCTTAAAAGATTCACAAATGTCTCAGCTTGCCTTTTAACCTATACATATGTGTTAATTGTACATATATTTTTATTAGGAAGAATAACCTAGGTTTACCCAAGGTATGTTCAACACAAAAACACACTAAAACCTACATAAATTCTACATTTTTGCATTAAATCCGCTCAAACCTAGTCCAAACTCAAAAAAATTTTGTCAGCAATCAGAAAATCCGGTAAAATTGCCAATTTTTTTGTTTTAAATTGTCAAAATTTTGAAAAAACCAAAATTTTGACCTAGCTCAAAATATTCAAAAAAACTAAATTTTATTAAAAAATATCCCACTAATTTTTTTTCCAAAAATACCTCACCAATATGGTTGTACTGTGGCATAAAAGATTCACAAATGTCTCAGCTTGCCTTTTAACCTATACATATGTGTAAATTGTACATATATTTTTATTAGGAAGAATAACCTAGGTTTACCCAAGGTATGTGCAACACAAAAACACACTAAAACCTTCAAAAATTCTACATTTCTGCACTAAATCCGCTCAAACCTAGACCAAACTCAAGAGAATTTTGTCAGCAATCAGAGTATACGGTAAAATTACTCATTTTTATGATTTTAATTTTTTTGATATTTGACGCTCGTTGTTGATTTTTGACGCTCTTTGTTGATTGTTGACATTCGTTATTGATTGTCGCTCGTTGTTGATTTTTGACGCTCGTTGTTGATTTTTGACGCTCGTTGTTGATTTTTGTCGCTCGTTGTTGATTTTTGCTCGTCGTTGATTTTTTACGCTCGTTGTTGATTGTCGCTCGTTATTTTTTGTACTAAAATACAGCGCTTATTGGGCTGTACAGCGGTTTGGCGGATTCAGCTGGTCCAACAAGCTTCAACAGCTGTCTGGAACATTGTCTTAAACAACCAATTGTCCATTGGTGTGATTTGCCGCCATTGCCGCGCCTGTAGTAGGGGTACAAATATCCCTTACCTATGGGTATTTGCACCCCTGTGGTCAAAAGTCATAAGACCAACGGTTAACGCATAAATTGACATTTAAAAAGTGTTATATTATAATGACATGCCGGAATGGATGGCTAGGTTGACTGTCCCTGTCTGTCGGACATGCGGCGGGCAAATGACGGCGGCGTAAAATCGTATCTCGGGACCCCGTTGATTTAGTGCTCTAAAATCAACGGCAAACGACTCGGCGAGGCTGATTACTTTTAAATTCATATATCACATCGTATATATAGATAGAAAAAAAATCTACTGTCTATAGGCGAAAATTACCCTTAGGCTAACTCTGTGTTAACCTACGAAAATTCAAAACACGATATCTCGAGATCTATTGGAGATATAACGTTCAAACAAAAAGCGCTAGATAGATATTTCACGGGACTATAAAAAAAAGACATTTTCTTACATTTAAATTAAAATTAAATCGTATACTGGTATTGTGATGGAGAAAACAATCAATTTTACCTACATATATTACTTATTAGTTAAATATTACTAACGTTTATAGCCACTAGCGGTCGGCTGTTGCCTGTTAGTTAACAATAACCTTTTATGGAGATTTCAAAAATTGTGTTTTTTTTAATAATAATATATTATAGGAGCAGTATCGTAATGTTAAATGTTCACGAGATTTGAATTAGTCATAAAATAAAGTATTATCATTTATGATTTAATTATTATTAAAATATATCTTAATTTGTACATTAATTGGTATAAAATAATGAAATATTTTATACAAAATTAGAGCTACAAGTTGATAAACTAAAAAATTTAAATTAGCACGGAGCAGATTATCCAATATTAGATAAATTAAACAATCAAGCGTGAATCTCTTTAAATGAATAACAGTATAACATATGCAAAACATTAGTGTTCCATTAAACAAATTGTGTAATATAAAATACATTTTGGGTCGGTATACTGCATAAAAACCAACACATAATTGTGTAACGATCATATTAAGTTATACGATATATTAAGTTAATAAGGGAGACTTTAAGGCCAATTAGCCGTAGACAGCGGCCTAGCCAACCGTTTTCCCGTGGGGATCCGTCTATTTTAGCCTTATCGACGGCCACTTTGCCTAGTCTAGCCAGCTAGACAAGTAGGTCCGTTACAATCTAAATCCAAAAAACAACAGTCCTCTTCATAATTTGCAGGTAGTTGGACATTATATACTCATAGTTGACCTTCGGTAAGGTAATATAACGCAGGCGATAAAATAACGAGATAACGACAGTGGTTTTGTCGTATCAGAATCATTAAGTGTCTTAATAAGTACACGGATAGGTTCTTTTCCCAATAAATCGTGTGGTTACTATAACCAGTTACAAGATTTAGTCGTCTGTGATATCATGTAATAAACACAATATTATGATACCGACCATTGGGTCCTAACCTAACCTAACACGAATAGAAGTTACCAACTAACAGTTTTAAGCGCCTGTTCGTTTCTCACATCTGGTACACCGTGCTTTTAGTTAAACAAAAAAAAAATTTAATTTGTGTAAACTTAAAGTCAAAAGTGTTACTTGAGCACAAAACTTAATAATATCATTCTGCATAGATCTATATAAAATTGTTTTAATGGTTTGATAAAAATTTTTTTAAGATTTTAAGTGTTTTTTGTTAAAATATACGCAATCTGCGAAAACACAGTTTTTCAGATAAAAAAAAGCACACATCAGAGTAAAACCTTCAATACCTTCTCGCTTTGCATCGAAGCTAAAATTATACATGTACAAAATGTATTATATCTTTATGATAACTCATGGGGTAGTTGGGCAGAACTAAAAGAGTATAAATATTATTTGTGAAATATCCAAAAAAATACAAAGTTATTCGATTTTGGGATTTTTCTAATTGTTATTAATTAGTAAATAAATCATTTGGTGACTTTTAGTTGGGTAAAAGTTTTTTTTCAGTTCATAATAGTTAATATCGATAAGACGGTAAATAAAGTACAAAATTATATAGTTAAATTGTGTAATATAATTTTTTTTTTTAATACTGTGAAGAAAAAATGGCAAATACCTAAAAACAAAAAAAGGAAAAAATAAAATTGTTAAAAGTGTATAATGTAAACATTAGTTCAACGTTATTGATTTAAAAACCAATAACTATGAAAAAGATAATTTATATACTCCACGGTTAATACAAATACAAATGTTGAGTACTAGAAATTAGAATCACTGCAAAAACTAGTTATAAAGTTATGATTTTTTTTTTTGCTAGTGTAAAATTTCAATATGGTGACTTGTGTCGTTTTTGAAATGACCGATTTAATTGAGGTGCTGTTTACTAATAAACATCAAAGATGAAGAGCATAAGCATAAAGATTTTTTATTACTTTGTTTGTGATGATATCATGTCCTAGTGATTTGCTTGATTGGTAACTTAACGATTTTGTACTGTTCTTCAGTACAGTTACTACAATAACTAACAATGGAAGAGGGGTTATAAACTCCTCAATTTCTTTACTTTTTTCTAGATGTTGAGGAGGCGGGGCAATAGGATGTGGTTATAAAACAATTATCCTCAGACAAGGTGAGCCACATAAAAATAGATAACGAGAAACTCAAATGGGTTTAACTTTGAGCAGCACTCAATCCATTACTTTGGTGGTCAAAAATTTAAAAACAATACTTCTTCCTCCACAAGCATACCCTAATAACGTTTAGCAAAACATTTATTGAGTAATAAAAGAGTTGGCATGACAGGGTGTAACCATATAATTAATTGCTGTTTTGGAAATAGCAATACATTTGAAAACGACTTAAAATCAATGCCAAATGCTTTGCACAATACGATTTTATTGATAAAAATATCTAGCTCTTAAAAAGTAAAAAAATATAGGGTATGTCGGGTTAGATTTGCTTCAATAGTTTTAAACTTTAAAGGGTCTAAACTAAATTAACAGACAACCGTTGTTAAGGTTATTTTGGAAAACTATTTAAAGAAAATAAAATCCCATTCATTTATTGTACAATAATTTCTGTAATTTTAACATTAGATTATAATATATTCGATTAATATTTGAGACATGTTATTGTAAATTTTTGATATCAGATTCTAGTTTCTCCGTGTTGGTCTTTGGAGTCTGAAAAAAGTACAAAAATTGTTATAAATGGATATGAGTTTGGTTTTTGGTTGTTCCTGGTAAAAACTATACTTATATTTTACTACCAACCTTTATTATTATTTTAATTACTGCAGAACTTTCCTGTAGCTTACTATTTTTGCAACACTAACATGCACCAGTTTATGGATAAACAAAAGTATTAAAAGTTTAAGCCTTTAAGAAGCCACTAAAGATAGATTAGGGCAGGTTAGGTTTATTTAAAAGGGTTTAAAGGGTCTAAACTCTACAAGATAAACATTATACCGTTGTTAAGGTTATTTTGAAAACATTTCAAGAAAAATAAGTTATAAGTAACATACCTTGTTAATTTATTTTACACGTAGGTATGTTGTCTAGAATAGTCTGAAAAAACATACATAAAGTGTTATAAAAATGGATATGAGTTTGGTTTTTGGTTGTTCCTGGTAAAAACCGAATATATTTTATTAGCTACTTTTCTTATTATTTTCACGTTACATTTTATTAAAATAATGCTATGTAAATCAAAAAAAGTACTTTAAAGGAATGAAAATCATGAAATATTTAACTTGTAATCATTGCAATGCAATTGATTAACTCTTAACTTGTACATAGACACTTTAATTGATGCTTTTAAACATATTTTCACTAAGCGAGCTTAAAGGAAAAAAAATGTAAGAAAACCTTAAACCTTGAAGAAGCCACTAATGATAGATTGGAGTAGGTTAGGTTTATTTAAAAGAGTTTGAAGGGTCTTAACTCTACAAGACATACCGTTCTCTAACTGCGTTGAGTTTATTTGGGAAAATGATTAAGGAAAAAAATAGGTTGCAAAGGTAATTTATTGTACATTTTCTGTATACTTCATACTTCTGTATTCTCATTCTTTGTTAACAGACATGCTTACTCTGTTACATTCCTACTTAATTTGAATACTATTAATTATACTTACATGGGCGGAGCTTTCAGGGAGATCATTGAACGGTTTATCTTTATCGCGAAACAATATCATACCTATTCTTTCCTTCTTTTTTTCTTCATAATAGGTGTTTTCTACAAGTTTCATTTTAATTTCGGATGCGCTAAAATATAATAATAATAAACACTTTATGATAGAGCGTCTCTTAAAGTATTTACAGTTTTATAGTTTTCTATTTAAACAAATTATTTGTCTAAGTAATTTTACAATATTGTAAAATTTAATTATAGTCACACTTTGAAATAATATTATTATTAAGGCCACGTAGGCCATGTATGAAAGTCAAGTGAACATATCAAGAGTCTTCCTAATCGAGTCATGGTACCAAACCAAAAAGAGAAAATCTTCAAAGTAGCCTAAACAACAGCGATGGTTTTAAAAAGTTAAAGTGGATTTGAAAAAATGCAACCAATGTACCCAAATCCATCTATCTCGTGTTTGCCCTTCTAGACTCTCCCCATTCTCTTCCAATCCACCGTTCGAAAAGTATCTCGACTAATTCATTCTACTTCCCGGGAAGTTATTTAAATTCATCATTTATATAATAATATTTTATATCATACCGTCCATAGCTGTTAAAGCCATAAATGTGCGTTGCTTCGGTAGTATTTTCAAAATCCGTTTTAAAACCAGAAATCTCAAATTCCAAATTTTCTACGAAGCAACCCGAAGCCCTAATATCGGAATACGCTGGCTGTTTTCCCGGAATCGATTTTGTAAAATCTCTGTACAATTCCGAATTAAGGTCTCTTCCCTCCAAGTATTGCACAGGTACGGTACTTTCTCGACTAAACAATAGAAACAAAATGTACAAAATACATACCATTCAGATCACGAGGTGGATATTTGAGAGACACAAAATATAATGTACCATGTATTTTGTATTTTGAACCTTAAGATTAAGTTTAAAGTTACAAAATACAAGATGCATGTAACTTGAAAGACAAAATTAGAAAAGTATTTTTAATACTTGTGTTGTAGATGTTGCCCATCATAGGTGGCCTCTTTGGTCTTCATTTCATCAAAATGCACTAGAAGCCCCATGAAATCTCCGCGGACTCCTGTTGTTAGGGATTCGAAGTTCTTTACAAAATTGCTGTCGTGTGGTACACACTTGTTTTCGTTGAAACTGTCCAACAATTGAATCACCTCATTTAGAACACAGGCGAGTTCGTTAAGAGCGTCGATAAACGGTATGTTATATTGGTTTGTAAACCGCGTTTTTATCACTTCAGTATAGATTTTGTAATTGATTTTAAAACCGATATTCTTCTCGATGAATCCTGCCCATAATTTGTGAAGATCCTGCTTTGGCTTACTATCGAATTGGTGAACTGCTAATATTTTATGGACGCCTATTTCTAGTTTAATGTCAAAGTCTATTATATTCCTGACCCACTGTATCGAATCATATATTTTTTTAAAATGTCCATTTTTATGTAATGTATTAATATCGAAATTCGAAAAATTTAGTTTCATATGATTTAAGGCCCAGTTGAAGTTGCATTTGTGCTCCCACAGCTCCTGAAATATTAAATAAGCGGTTATGCTAGCGTACCTCATTAAAGTACATTGATAAGCTGATTTGATTATGCTGCGGATCGATTCAAATTCCTCCACAGTACTGTCGTCAACAATTTGCATAAAATAGTCTACAGCGTCCTTAACGTCAACAGGAGTTTTAGTACTGTCGATAACGCCGTAAAATATTTGCTGGTTCATAGCTTCGTTCCATTCCTTAGTTGGGTTTTGGCGGTTATAAATGTCTTTTAGTTCATTCAAATCTAAATTGTCAAACTTAGACGATATGCAATAGCCGCCGGAAAGACACAATAGAATCAAACTAAAATTACTAATCATACTGTTATTGTTTCAGTGACGTTATATTTTTGCTAGAGCTTAAAATATACTGAAATATTTGTGTTTGTCGATTCAACATGTAATGTCTACAGAACATTTATGAACATATATGGTGTTAACACAGCTGTTGGTTTAAAATCACAGATATTGTGTTTCCCTTAAGTCAGCATTTTATAAAAACCAATAAAAATATTAATAAAATATCGTGTTTTACTAGTTGAACATTTGCAAGTAACTTAAGCATTACGACGATTTAAGTCAATAAAGGCAACATTGCTAAAACTATACAATATTGTTTTTGTAAAAACACATTAAAAATATTTAAATACGAATATACAAAATAGGTATTCGCTAAAATGTGTGTAAATGTAAAGTAGTAATGTGCAAGCGAATAGTTCAAACACTCAAATCAAATACACAACCAAATGACATATGTTTTAAAAACCGTTTTCTTGAAATACAAGAAATAAAATAGCCAGTACAGTGGGTTGGGGAAATTTGGGGGGAAGAGGGAGATCACAGATCTACAGGAATTATAACAATATTGTCAATCTATAGTTTTTGATAACCTTCAATTTTTTATATACATATATCAAGTTACATTATCAAGTGCTCACACAAATGCAAAAAAATAAAATTCAAGGGTAACGATTTTATACATTGAACATTCTGAAAATACAAAATTATTTGACATTACACTGAGCCAAATATTTATTTATTCACACTAGTTTTCATTAACAAGGCAAATGTATTACAAGTATGTGACTTCAATGCTTCAAATGTTAAAAAAATATCAATTCTTCGCCCTAAAAATCAGGAAAAAACAAAACTCAATTTGATAATTATTCAATTTTAACTTTAACCCTCTGTAACTTTGATAAAAAATTATTGACAACACCCCCAAGCATCCCGCAGTATTTTTTTATTGTAGAAAAATGGTATTTTAAAAAGTTTGAGACTGTATACCTGTAGTCTTACATTATTATCAAATGAATATTCAAATAAAAAATTCATTTTTTAATGTACATTTGTTGATCAATGCAAATAATATAATATATATAATTGCATTTAATTATGTATTATCAATTTTTATGTTTATGAAATAAATTTGCATTCAACTTATTTAATTACATTTACATTTATTGGAATAAATGTAATCAATGCTAATATAAATACAATTGAAACATCTGATGATGTAGTCAAAAAGTAAAAAATAATGTGCACGTGTATTGTTCAAATATTAAAAAAAATATGTTTTTATACTTTACACAAAAATTATTCCCAAATCGCATAACTTTAAGAATTATAATTGAACTGTTATAGTTGAAAAGTTAACACTGAAAGCTAATAAAATAAAGTCTTAAAATCGACCTTGGAAAATAAAAATTAAGAAAAACGTTAAGCTGAGAAACTCTTTAGGAGTCAAGTGTCAACATTTAAATGTAGTTGCAATGTTTATCAATTATCATCCAAACCGATCATATACAGGGTGATTCTTTTATCATGAACCACTCAATATCTCATAGGGTTTAATAAGAAATTAAAATTTTTTTTTTATATTGTTTTTATACTATATGAGCTCAATTTTTCACATTTTTTCTTGTTTTTACCCCCCCCCCCCCACTTTGTTTTTTGATAGCAACCATTTAAGTATCAAAAAAACTAAGTTGGGAGGGGGGAAACAAAAAAAAATAGAGATCACGTTGTATAAAAACAATATGAAAAAAAATGTAATTTCTTATTAGACCCTATGAGATGTTGAGAGGTTCGTGATAAAATAATCACCCTGTATAGAAATTTAAAATACTACTTTAGGTTGTATTGAAAAAATACAATTTTCGTGTGCGTCAATGTGTGTTCAAATCCAACGTTAGAAAAAATTTCTTTTGCTAATTATAAATATTTAGAGGAAATGAATAAAGTACTTTTTAAGTTCGATTTCTACCATTCTATACAAAAAAATCAGTTTCACGTTCTAGGAAGTATTTTTGTCTAGTAAAAAATGTATATAAATATATGTATCATTTATTATACAGTTTTTCAAAATCAAAACCTTCTCAACTTGGCACCGGAGGCTGCAGTGACTAATATAAATTGATTTTATGTTTATTCTTATTTGCAGATCAAAATGAAACTTTTCTGTTTTTTACTAACATTTGTACTAGTTAAAATATCGGCAAATGATGGTAATTATTTTCTTTTCACAATTACCAACTTAATACAGTTATAAATTTGAAAAACTTCAATACTTTTGTGGTATATTTTCCTTACCTAACCAGAAAATATACCCCTAAGACCCATATTCAGTGCAATCAATTCTCCAACTTATAATCTAAAGGGACACTTGGCCAGAATACTAAAAAAAAAGTAGGGAAAACTACTTCTTACAAACTCTACACACTTTGTGGAAAAAATAAAAGAAGCTAAATGGGAACATGGAGACATCCTTATCAGTTTTGATGTGGTCTCATTGTTCACAATGGTTCCAGTAGAAGCCACGTTAGAGATTAAAAAGGAGAAGAAATGGTTAGAGGTACATCTATATAAATTACTAGAGATGTGTACCAAATCAACAGTTTTTACTTACAAAGGCATAACTTATGAACAAACTGACGGACTAGCTATGGGATAAAGACTAGTGCCAGTATTTGCTAACATTTTTATGGAATGTTTTGAAGAACAGGCATTACAATATAGCAGCTTGAAACCAAAAATGTGGCTACGATATGTGGATGACACATTTATACAATGGCAACATGGAGAGGAAGAACTAAAAAAATTCCTACCTTTGAGACCACCGTGCACCTAATCAAATTTGATAATCACGCGCTCATTGTTACAGTTAATATGAGCATAATTAAGATTTTATTAGCTAAGTTGTAAGCTAAATTACCAACTTGGTGCAATTATCTTTTAGTTTTTACACATATATATATTTATTTATTTTTAAATTAAATACAGTTAATTTGTTGAATTTATATTATATTTATTCCACCTCTCCTATGAGACCTCTCTATAGCCCCTCCTAGAAAAAAAGTCTGATTAAAAGGAACCCAGGAGAAAGTTTTAGTACAGGGGTATGTAAACATGAATACTGATAAGTACATGCTGAGTCACAACATTGCCCTTCACAAAAATTGGGTTATTCCACACAATGGCCACAAGAGCTGTAAGAATAGCCGACAACCAACACCTTGAGGAGAAAAAAACATATTTACTCTCTCATCTAACCTTACCTAACCTAACCTAACTTACCATCTCTCTATTATCAATCTTCCCTTTTATTTTTTCTTATTTTTCTTATTACAAAGCTCATAACAAAAATGCAAACTGCAAGTAGTTCCAAAAAAAATTGTGTAGTAGCAAACTATCATATTGTAGTATATTAGATTTAACGGCATTGTTTTTAGCAGAAATTAGGAACGATAAAGTATTTTTACCTACCCTAGTATATTGATTTAACTTATTTCAATCGGAGTAGCACGTGTAATACGCATATTCAATTTAGACTCTCCCTAAGAACCCCTAGAAGTATTAGACAATGTTTCTTCATTTATTTTTTTAAGCGTAGTTTAAGACTTAAGCTCTGAAAATTAGAATGAAATGGATTAAGATCAAGTGTGGCTCTATACTATACAAAAAGGTACGATTTTCTCAAAAAATCTGACGTTTTATAATAATTTAGCCTTTACTTTAAAGTTATTATAAGTAATACATTTATATATCACTATTACTTATTATAAATATTACCCAGTCATTATGCATTCTAAATTATACCTTATATATAAACTATTACTTATACGTAATTTTTCTGTATTCATTTTAACGTTTTTAATGAATGGTTTGTATTAAATATTCATTTTTTTAAATTAAATTATGCTATATGTAAGCACTATGCACATTTCAATAAATAAATAAATATACTATTGAAGTATACATTTAAAATCCTAAGACGTATCTAGTCGTTTGATTCAACTAATAGAAATCATAATGTAGTGTTATGAAATGTAACCTAAATATAAATATTATTCATGAAATTCCAAAGAAATATGTGTTTATTAACAGTTATAAAACAGAAGCCAGTCCAATCGGGACGAAACACAGTAGTGTGTGGTGACGAAGTATTATAGGACAATATTATCTATTATTAAGTATTTAATTAAACTAATAACAAAACACTTTTAAGAAATTTCCAATTTTTTTTATATTTTTTACTTTGAAATATTATATGGTACAGTTTAATTGTATTTAACAAGCATATTAAGTACATTTGTACTAAGCTAAAAATCTTCAATTAAACAAATATTATTAAAAACAACACCCAGTTAGTAATATTTTTTTTTAATTCGTATGGATATGAAATAACATATGAGTAATAGTAGTACACATGAAAATACTTAACAACACTGTCTATGTACCCAGATTGTTCGTACTGTTAAATGCGTTAGTATACAGGGTTATTCATATTGGGTAAGACACTAATTTTCTCGGAAAATATGAACATTTAAAAATAAAAATAATTTCCTATACTGTTAGGTACATATTTTACTACATTTTTCAATACTGTGAAAATTTGTATCTCCAACCCTTATACAAAACAAAGGGTAAGGTATCACTTTTTTCAAATAGCAACATATGTTTTAAATTCCATAAATATATGTATAGGCAAAATTTTTAAAAAAATTTTAGTGTTTGAATAATTAAGTTTTATCCATTTGTTCGCTTGTTATGACTTTGTAAAGATTTGAATTTTTATCTATATTCCTTAATATTTTCATTCGGTTCAACAAACACAAGTAGTTTTATTACACCAGTCATCACATAAAATAATAATTTAGTAGATAAGATCAACTATTATCTCAAAACATTTTTCTCCTTTTTTTCCTACAAATTTATGGAATTAATATAATATGTTGTCATTTGAAAAAGTGAACTTGGACCCTATTTATCGTATAAGGGATAGAGATAACAATTTTCAAAGTATTGAAAAATATAGTACAAAGTGTATCTAAAAAAATAATATT